TTATTTTATTTTATTTTATTTTATTTTATTTTATTTTATTTTATTTTTTGGAAGGTGGCTGTATTACCCAGGCCAGGTTCAAACTCAGTGACTTCTCTTCCTTGGTCCCTGGAGTCCTGAGACTGTAGGGTGTACCACCTACCCCACCCCACCTCCAATTTAAGTCCATTTTCTTCACACCAAGTGTTCAGCTCTTTAAAGAATGCCTTTCCTTACCTATTGCTCACTCAACAGGGTGTGTCATGGATAAGCCAGTAATAACTCTAGACTCAGTGTCTTTGTTATTACTAGTGCCCAGCTTGCTGTCTTCTTTCCAAAATTATCTGTTTATTATGTGCCTGCTGAGCCATCTTGCCAGAGCCTTGTTGTTTCTTATGAAAAGTTTTGTGGGCTCAGATACCAAAGATAACCTTCCTTGATAAAACTGTATTTATCTTATATAGCTATATAATATTCTATTAATGTCTGATTTGTCTTTTATTTATAGCCTTCGTACTTCATCTTATATTCTTTGTTTTAATTTATTAATTTTTTTATTTGTGTGTATGAGTGTTTTGCTTTTATGTATGTAGGTACAGCATGAGTGTAACTGGTGCCTGCAGAGGTCAGAAGAGAGTATTGGGTCCCCTGAATCTGGGGTTAGGGATGGTTATGAACTACCATGTGGGTGCTAGGAACCAAGTCTAGGTCCTGCACAAGAGTCACAAATGATCTTAATCATTGAGCCATTTTTTTCAGCCCCTTTAGTATATTCTTGATTCTAAAATTGCAAAAAGCATGCTCTGTGGTGTATTGTAGTTTGCAATTCCACTTTCTAGATACTTACCCAGTTGACATGAAGTTAGGAGTAAAGTGAGGGCCAGCTCAGTGGGGTCAGTTGCTTCAGCCCTTTTGGTTCAATGCCGTTTGTTAAAACTTGTGATCTCTTTGCTCGTGGATTCAAGAAACCATCTTTATTGTAGTACTAGATCCCCCTGCATATGGTAAGCGCAGCACACTTGCAAGTGTCACCTCTGCTAATGACTGTCAGGGCTGTTTCTCCTCCTCCTGCTTCTCCTCATTCACTGTCCAGGTGTGCACATCGTTGTTCTTCTTTTAATTCTATCTGATTGACATATAAATAAATTTTAGAGTCTTATTATCTAGTTTTAAAATCTATTTTCATGGATGTGTGGCTAAATTATATATTTACACAGTTGACATCTTTACAACGCTCAATCAAGTTTAGCGCCTCCTTTGGGGGGGGTGTTTTTTGGAGATAGTCAAAGTTTAGGTTTTTCATGAGTGCTCAGTGTGCTGATACTTTGATGGAGTATCCAGCGCTCACCCTTGTATAGACACTGGAATGTTTCATGGCTCTGTTCTTGCTTGCTCAATAGATTTCAGTTCTATTCTAGATTTTGCTTCAGTTCTTTTCTTAAGTTGAGCTGGTAACTCACATACAGTAAATGATCAAATCTTAAATGTGACACATGTAAAATTTAAATATATATATACACCCATGTGGACTTGCCCATGGCTCACTGCAGAACCTTGCCACAGTCTTAGACTTCCCCATGCTCTATCACACTCAGTACCCTTCCGTTGTGTACCCCTACCTGAATCCAGATTAATCAATATTCTGATCCCTGTCACATAGGTTCCTTTTTTAGCTGCTCTTGACTTTTAGACAAATAGCTTGACACAGTGGTCCCTTTAATTCAACCATATCTGTGAGAGTCGTTCACTCCTTTGTGTAGGAATACATACTATTGAAGTCTTTATTCCTCCATTCCATTTCTTCTGTTGATATTATATTGGGTTATTATGAACATTCTATATATTCTTTCTGTATATTTTTAGTGGACATGAGTAACTTTTGAACCTGGCTATTGATATAACAAAGAATCTGAGGCAAACAAAGGAAGAAAGATTTGGTTTGGCTCGTGGTCTCTTGAGTTTGAGTCCATGGTCAGTTGACTCTATTGCTTCTGGGCCTGCACTGAGGCAGAACAGTGTAATTGGGCTTCATCATGGAGGAAAGCTGTTAACCACATGAGCTGAGAAGTCAGAGAAAGTAAGATGAGCTGGCCAGAGACAATGCATTCCCCATTGACCCACTGCCTTCAGTTAGGCCCCACCTCTCATCTCTCTGTCATCTCCCAGTAGCCTTTCCATTTTGAACTCAATGTTGAATTAATCCATTCTGAGGGCACAACCCTATGAGCCCATCAGCTGGCAACCAGACTTAGCACATGGATTTTCATGGACATTCCACCTTGAGACCATTTAGATCCTGTGCTAAACTGACCAGGGATAAAGAAATAGTCTGACAAATTCATATTTATGAATTCCTTGCAGCGATATAAAACGTACCATGGAAACTGTGTGGCATCATATCTAACAAAGCAATAGAAGAGGAGTAGTAGAGGAATTAGGATTGAGGTGACTCAGAGCGAAGGTGTGTGTGTGTGTGTGTGTGTGTGTGTGTGTGTGTGTGTGTGTGTG